GACCACCCCTCTCCATACTCCCCAATCCCCTTACCACCCCTTCCTCGCCGCTGGTTTCAGCGATTATTTATCGCCGAAATTTGCCTGGCATCGCCGAAAGTCTTTCGACGCAATTTGCCTGGCGTCGGAGAAGGTCTTTCGGCGCAATTTGACCGTAAATCCCCCCGTAACGAAGTGGAGGGGAGGATTGGAGGACAGATCACCGCTAAAGTTCGTCTGTCTGTCTGTCCGTCTGTCTGTCTGTCTGTCTGTCTGTCCGTCCGTCTGTCTGTCTGTCTGTCGCCGGAGCAATGTAGCGACGTCGTAGGGCGACGTCGTAGACGGAGTCCGGAGCTAGCGAAGTTAGCGTAGGAAAGGGACCAATAGAGAGGGGGGGGTTCGTAACTACCAAAAATTGGTAACGTCCTTAGCGCGGATATCGCTCCAAAAAATCGCGATTGGCGCGGGCGACCCGCGGGCGAGGGTTCCTACTCGCGGCCAGTTTTCTCAACACATGCAAGCAAGCCCGCTTTACTCACCCCCTCACCACCTGCAACCCACACACACACACATGCCCACATTCCAGCTTATAGCGCCCTCTCGCCCCATTTAGCCCCACACGCATGCAGGCACCCCCGCTTTACGTGCCCCTTTGCCTCATGCAACTTACACACGCGCACATGCCAGCACTCTCACAGTACACGCCCCCTCGTCCCGTGCAACCCACACACGCATGCACGCACACCCGCCTCAAGCGCCCCCTCGCACCATGCAACTCAGACACGCATGCATGCAAGCAATGCCACACTACTCGCCCATTCTGCGTGCGGCTTGTACGTCATAGTGAATGAAATGGCAACAAGCAAAGGACAGTGAAGGGCCCGGGGGGGGGGTATGGGGGGGTAAAAAGCCCCCCCCCCCCAGCCGCAAGTTTCCGACTGTTGCGTGCACCCTTCTCAGTTCTCTGATTGTTGGGTTGGCTGGACAATATCACGATACACGATATGCCTGAGGTTGTGGGCTTAAGTAGTGCAAGGGTGTAAGGAAAAAGGAATGCGCTCCTCGCTTTACCACAGCCTTGAAGGTAACAAAAAAACTCGCAGGAGTATCACAGCTGGTTGTGCTGTTGGCATAACTCGGCAAACAATGTCCTCCTAAAAGACGACGTCTGATGTCGCTTTTCTGGTACGGCATTCACACTTCTGCTTGCTGTCCAGCATTGACAACGATGTCTCACACTGACTGCCATACGTGCCGCAAACGACCAAATTACGTTATTGAATTACGTTATCGACTCTTTACATCAACATTGTATGTTCATATGCTCAGACACGAGATGGGCGCACACACCAGGCTGCAACGTGCGGCTGGAGGGGGGGGGGGCTTCGCCCCCCCCTAACCCCCCGCCCCCTTCTAGCGCCCAACTTACGTGCGCAGCCCAGCTTATTGGCAAGAGAGAAGATGGTGCTTTAGCGTGCGTGCGTGCGGCTTGTACGTCATACTGAATTAGTTGGCGACAAGCTCATACAAGAGTTGGGCGCACACACCAGGCTGCAACGTGCCCCCCCCCTCCAGCCGCAAGTTGCAGCCTAAGTTGTAAGCCCAGCTTGGGTCTTTGCTTGTCGCCAACTGATGCGCTATAACGTGCCAGCCGCACACACGCTAAAACACCAGCCTTTCGTTTGCCAATAAGCCGGGCTGCGGCTGGTCTTTGCTTGTCGCCAACCAAGGCGCTATAGCGTGCCAGCCGCAAGCACGCTAAAGCACCAACCTTTCGTCTGCTAATAAGCCCAGCTGCACGATTAAGCTGGACGCTAGAAGGGGGGGGGGGGTAGGGGGGGGGCGCAGCCCCCCCCCTCCAGCCGCAAATTGCAGCCTAAGTTGTAAGCCCAGCTTGGGTCTTTGCTTGTCGCCAACTGATGCGCTATAACGTGCCAGCCACACGCACGCTACAACACTAGCCTTTCGTTGGCCAATAAGCCGGGCTGCGGCTGGTCTTTGCTTGTCGCCAGCTGCACGATTACGCTGGACGCTAAGGAGGGGGGGGGGGTTAGGGGGGGGGCGCAGCCCCCCCCCTCCAGCCGCAAGTTGCAGCCTAAGTTGTAAGCCCAGCTTGGGTCTGAGAATATTTACATACATTGTTGATTTAGAAAGTCATAATTGAGTCACATGCACATGGATACAAGTATATCTAGCCAATATAAGGACAGGGCGAGCCAAAGGAGTCAATGGCAGTGTCTACGTGAAGATGTTGGGCCACCGCATTTGCCAAATGAGCGAGCAAGCATGTAAGAAACGATAGCAAGTTGCATGCTGGTGTTGTTTGGTACTTACCATGACAAATTTGAAACAACGGGCTCGGCCCTCTTCAGCCGAGGTGCTGCTTTCCATCCTTTTGTAACGTGGATCGTAGCAACCATTTCTCTTGAGGTGGTTACGAACCATTCTGTTTGACCTGAGCTTCACGGCCTTTCGATCGACCACTCCATTTACACATCGCTTGCACAAGCAATACTTAGTTGTCACGGCTACCGCATTTGCATTACTTGTTACTGCAAATATCAGGAAACCGCAAGGCCTGCCAGCAGCCAAGCCTGCCAAGCGGAAGTGGCAGGCCCACTTGTGGCAGGCAATGCCCACGTCTGACCTAAGTGCCGCGGCATTTGGACATACTACATGAATTCGTCAACGAAAGAAGTATCTATAGTCGAGGTTGAAATGCTTTTATTGCATACTCTAGCCTCTAGTTCTTGCATTTGAAAAGTCCTGTACTGCGTCACCCGAGTTACGCCGTACAAGCTCAACCTGCCGTATTGAGCCTTCCACCAAAAAAGCATCTAAGAGTTCTGCCAATTTCATACATCGTGTGTTGCCTCAGGACGTTAACTTCATGCAGTGTCCTCTGATCCGAACGACAAAGAATGAACCCCTGATACGTTGACATGTAATATACGCAAGCAACTAATAGAAGAACTTTACATATCTTACTTAGTTATGATATTCAGTCTCCCCTAGCGTAGCGATCGTAGGGACTGAGCATGGTTTGGTACGACAGATCTTAAGGCTGCTCCGAGTACTTATGTTCGTTGCTCTCTGTGTTCAGGCATTCTGCCTTTACTTTTAGAGAGCGCTCACATCGCTGTGAGTACCAACTTTCCCGCCCATTCGCCCGAGCCTCCCGGCTCGTGCCCCACCCCTTTCTCCTCCTCAGGTGCTGGCCCAGGCGGCGACGAGCGTTCTGGGCTCTGTGGGCCTCCTCTTCTTCTCTGGGGGCATCGTCTTCAGCGGTTCCAGACTTTGCTCGTTGTTTGGCTGCCGTTCGCGTCTTGGGCTCTCGTGCTGGTGGTGGTGGAGGTTTTCGGCCGTGGTTGTTCTTGTTCTCGGCGCTTTGTTCCCGTCCCGGCCTCCTTTGGCCCTGGTTGGCTGCCTGCCTAAACTTAGGTGCCGGCCGGAGCTGCAGCGAGGTTTTTTGCTTTTGTGTGCCCCTGTTCCCGTTTTTTACTCGCTGCGCTCGCTCCGTGCTGGCTTTCGTATCGTGCCCGCCGACCTAGCACCCGCCGACCTAGCACCCGCCGACCTAGCACCCGCCGACCTAGCACCCGCCGACCTAGCACCCAACGACCTAGCACCCGCCGACTAAGCACCCACCGACCTAGCACCCGCCGACCTAGCACCCGCCGACCTAGCACCCGCCGACCTAGCACCCGCCGACCTAACGCCCACCGACCTAGCGCCCGCCGACCTAGCACCCACCGACCTAGCACCCGCCGACCTAGCACCCGCCGACCTAGCACCCGCCGACCTAGCACCCGCCGACCTAGCACCCACCGACCTAGCACCCGCCGACCTAGCACCCGCCGACCTAGCACCCGCCGACCTAGCGCCCGCCGACCTAGCGCCCGCCGACCTAGCACCCGCCGACCTAGCGCCCACCGACCTAGCACCCACCGACCTAGCGCCCGCCGACCTAGCGCCCGCCGACCTAGCACCCGCTGACCTAGCACCAACCGACCTAGCACCCGCCGAGCTAGCACCCGCCGACCTAGCACCCGCCGACCTAGCGCCCACCGACCTAGCGCCCGCCGACCTAGCGCCCGCCGACCTAGCGCCCGCCGACCTAGCACCCGCCGACCTAGCACCCACCGACCTAGCACCCACCGACCTAGCACCCAACGACCTAGCACCCGCCGACTAAGCACCCGCCGACCTAGCACCCGCCGACCTAGCGCCCACCGACCTAGCACCCGCCGACCTAGCGCCCGCCGACCTAGCACCCGCCGACCTAGCGCCCGCCGACCTAGCGCCCGCCGACCTAGCGCCCGCCGACCTAGCGCCCGCCGACCTAGCGCCCGCCGACCTAGCACCCAACGACCTAGCACCCGCCGACCTAGCGCCCACCGACCTAGCACCCAACGACCTAGCACCCGCCGACCTAGCACCCGCCGACCTAGCACCCGCCGACCTAGCACCCGCCGACCTAGCGCCCGCCGACCTAGCGCCCGCCGACCTAGCACCCAACGACCTAGCACCCGCCGACCTAGCACCCAACGACCTAGCACCCAACGACCTAGCACCCGCCGACCTAGCACCCGCCGACCTAGCACCCGCCGACCTAGCACCCGCCGACCTAGCGCCCGCCGACCTAGCGCCCGCCGACCTAGCGTCAACTCGTAACGGGGCACCAGCTACCAGCAGCTGGCACCTAGCCCGCCACGATCGCAATGCCGCTTCTAGGGCTCAGGCGACGCTGATACAGTATACGAGGGAAAAAAGCTTGGTCTGTGTTGAGCTATATCGCACAGTAGCTGTTATCTCGCTTCAGAGGAGGGGAGCGACGCTCCAATTCGATGGCTGGCAGGCAAATGTTCCTGACGATGCTAGTCCGAGCGCCCTATACAACATGAAATTGAAAACAGTGGACGACAAGGCAAGCTGTCTGCTGGAATGCAGCACTGGGTGTGTCCTGTCTGCTAAGCTCCTCCCGTCATGCTTTACAGGAATGCTCCTTGTTGGGGCTCCTAGGATCCCACGTCAGCTCTCTGAGCTCGTTCAGGTCGTTTCTTCACAAGGGCGGTGACGTGTTTGTGGGTAACTACTTGGAGGAGAAGGAGAAGCGCGCCCCAGCAGCTCAGCTCCTCTTTGTTAGTTACCTTGTAGAGCTGACAAGGCCTAAGGGCCACGAGATAGGCGCTGTAGGCGACTATTTCTGGTTGCAGAAGCCCTGGCTCAAGAAGAAGAAGGTGAGCTAAGCATACCTTTGCAAACGTTGCAGCCAGGGCACTCGGTTCAAGGGTGTATGCTTAAGCTGTATGCTTGCTTTCAGGACCTGGAGGGTGTGCTCGCAGCAGGCAGCGACACAGCTCAGGCTGCCAGTAGTGTCCAGACCAGACGCTTCACTCCCACGGTTTCACTGGCGCTTCGGGCGCAAACATTGGGTGGTGCATCCAGCAGCATGCATGGCGCAGCAACTGCACCCTCCTCGCAAACAACACCTTGCCCAGTCTGCATGCAGCAGCAAACTCACAGCAATGCACGAGCCCAGCCCACCAGGTGAGCATGCATTGTAACGTATCCCTTCCACCCACTGTAGGCATGGGTACCTAGGTACGCCCCTTTACACGCCCCCTTAGGACGCGCCTACCTCCGCCGTTGGGACCGACTGGAGGTCTGGAAACATGTGCCATGGCACGGTCGACGTGGCTACGGGTACTACACTCTCAAATGGGGTAATGCTGGAGGTAAGCATGCGTCCTCTACTCGAGCTAAGATGCCAGTGCATGTAGCCTGCCAGATCAAGACCGTTACAAGTGTTGTTTCACCATTGAGGCTATTGATACTTCAAACCTTGCAGGAAGATATAGATATAAGCTTATGGGATATGGAGCCCAATGAGGATTCCCTGGTCACATTGGGGGTGAATGCATTTCCGCTGGTGAAGCAGCCCCTGCCTCCGCCCCTCTCCCCCGCCCATTCCCCCACTCCGCTTCCATGCATGCAGGCCTCCCTTCGCGCTGTCAAGCAAGCCGGGCGGCAGCGAACCAAACGGAGCGGCGCCGACCACAGGTCCCCCAGCAGGCTAGGAGCCCCAGCTCTAAGGTGAGCATGCTGGTGTCGCAGCCCTCGCACCCTTCTGCGGTGCAGCATCTTGTTTATTGCTGGCCGCGGCCGAAGGAGTGTCCTATCCATCAGTGTGCGCCCCTCCCCGCCCCAACACGCGCTTTCTTTGCCATTTACAAACGCTGCCGCCCCGCCCCAGCCTCCGCCCCTGTCCCCCACCCATTCCCGCACTCCGCTTCCATGCATGCAGACCTCCCTTCGCGCTGCCAAGCAAGCTGGGCGGCAGCGGAACCAAACGGAGCGGCGCCGACCACAGGTCCCCCAGCAGGAGCCCCAGCTCCGAGGTGAGCATGCTGGTGTCGCAGCCCTCGCACCCTTCTGCGGTGCAGCATCTTGTTTATTGCTGGCCGCGGCCGAAGGAGGGTCCTATCCATCAGTGTGCGCCCCTCCCCGCCCCAACACGCGCTTACTTTGCCATTTACAAACACTGCCGCCCCGCCCCAGCCTCCGCCCCTGTCCCCCACCCATTCCCTCACGCCGCTTCCATGCATGCAGGCCTCCCTTCGCGCTGCCAGCCAAGCCGGGCGTCAGTGGAACCGAACGGAGAGGCGCCGACCACAGGTCCCCCAGCAGGAGCCCCAGCTCTGAGGTGAGCATGCTGGTGTCGCAGCCATTGCACCCTTCTGCGGTGCAGCATCTTGTTTATTGCTGGCCGCGGCCGAAGGAGGGTCCTATCCATCAGTGTGCGCCCCTCCCCGCTCCAACACGCGCTTACTTTGCCATTTACAAACGCTGCCACCCCGCCCCGGCCTCCGCCCCTCTCCCCCGCCCATTCCCCCACTCCGCTTCCATGCATGCAGGCCTCCCTTCGCGCTGTCAAGCAAGCCGGGCGGCAGCGAACCAAACGGAGCGGCGCCGACCACAAGTCACCCAGCAGGCTAGGAGCCCCAGCCCCGAGGTGAGCATGCTGGTGTCGCAGCCCTCGCACCCTTCTGCGGTGCAGCATCTTGTTTATTGCTGGCCGCGGCCGAAGGAGTGTCCTATCCATCAGTGTGCGCCCCTCCCCGCTCCAACACGCGCTTACTTTGCCATTTACAAACGCTGCCGCCCCGCCCCTGCCTCCACCCCTCTCCCCCGCCCATTCCCGCACTCTGCTTCCATACATGCAGGCCTCCCTTCGCGCTGCCAAGCAAGCCGGGCGGCAGTGGAACCGAGCGAAGAGGCGCCGACCACAGGTCCCCCAGCAGGAGCCCCAGCCCCGAGGTGAGCATGCTGGTGTCGCAGCCCTCGCACCCTTCTGCGGTGCAGCATCTTGTTTATTGCTGGCCGCGGCCGAAGGAGAGTCCTATCCATCAGTGTGCGCCCCTCCCCGCCCCAACACGCGCTTACTTTGCCATTTACAAACACTGCCGCCCCGCCCCTGCCTCCGCCCCTGTCCCCCGCCCATTCCCTTGCACCCTTCTGCGGTGCAGCATCTTGTTTATTGCTGGCCGCGTCCGAAGGAGGGTCCTATCCATCAGGAGCGCCTTGTAGATTAGGGACAGCGAGTGGCAGGGTGATTGAGAGGGACGTCGTGCTCGGGACAGCACCCCAGCTAACTGGTCTCCTCAACCGATGCAACCCCCCCCCCCACACACACACACATGCACGCATTCTTACTTTACCCACCTCCCTCCCCATGCAGCCCACACATGCATGCAAGTACCCCCGTACTCGCCCCCTCACCCCATGCAACCAACATACGCACCCATGCAAGCACGTTCCTACTCGCGGCCAGTTTTCTCAACACATGAAAGCAAGCCCGCTTTACTCACCCCCTCACCACCTGTAGCCCACACACACATTCCAGCTTAAAGCGCCCTCTCGCCCCAACAGGCCCACACACGCATGCAAGCACCCTCGCTCAACTCGTCCCCTCACTCAATGCAACCCGGGCACGAAGGCATGCAAGCACTCCAACAATAATCGTCCCCTTGCCCCGTGCAACCTGCATACACATGCACGCAATCCTGCTTCACACACCCCATCACCCCATGTAACTCAGACACGCATGCATGCAAGCACTCCCACATTAGTCGCCCCATCGCCCCATGCAATTCAAACCCAAACGCATGGAAGCACTCCCACATTACACAGCACTCTGACAGTACATGCCCCCTCATCCCGTGCGGCCCACACACGCTCAACATTCCCGCTTCAAGCGCCCTCTCGACACATGCAGCCGAACGCATGAGCACTCCCACATTACTCGCCCCATGCATCCTGCTTCACGTGCCCCCTCATCCCGAGCAACCCACACACGCACGCCCCATGCAACCCATACATGCACGCCTTCAAGCCCCACAACTTTACTCACCGCCTCACAACCTGCAACCCACACACGAATGCAAGCACCCCCGCTTTACTCGCCCCCTCGTCCCGTGCAACCCGCACACGCATGCATGCACTCCAGCTTTACGCGCCCCTCGCCCCATCTGCAACTCAGGCACGCATGCATGCAAGCACTCCCACAGTAATCACTTCATCGAACACATGCCCAAAGGAAACCAAACAAGGGACGAAACACGCAAAACCCAAATCACACCCAAACTCTACACCACGCCCCACACAAGTTGCGACGGCCCCCCCCAGGCGTGCCCCGCCATGTCTGTTCACATGGCGTTCAGTCCTATCCTCAGCCAGCCAGAGGTCTCCAGTTCGAGCCGAGTAGCGACCTCTTGGCGACTTCCTTGGTACCCTTGGAGATGATGCCTGGGCCTATGGGGATGGTGTTCTGGGAGATCTCGAGTACGACAACACACTGTACGGCAGCAAACTGTACGGCACAGTTGCCATGCTGTGTGGTGACACATCATGTGGTGTACGACATGTACGACTATGTACGACAGCTGTACGGCAGTGTACGACAGCGTATGACAACTGTCGTACGCTTGTACGGCATCTGTACGGCATGGGTTTTGACACGCCCTCCCACCCCCCTCCGTGCTCCCCACTCCCCTCATCACCCCCTCATCACTCATCATGCCTGGCATCATCAGGATGGTGTCCTGAGATGTGGTGTCGTACGGCAACGCAGTACGGCATGGGTTTCGACACGCCCTCCCACCCCCCTCCATGCTCCCCACTCCCCTCACCACCCCCTCGTCCCTCCAGCACCTCTGAACGCCCCTGCATCACCATGAGGTGTACGGCAACGCAGTACGGCATGGGTTTCGACACGCCCTCCCATCCCCCTCCATGCTCCCCACTCCCCTCACCACCCCCTCACCGCTCTAGCTCCTCTGACCACCCCTGTCGTACAGCGACATGGTACGGCATGGCTTCGAGCACCACGTATCACCAATCTTCTTGTTGCAATATCTTGCATTGTGATGTCGACTAAGCTATGACTGAGTTAATTAGCCATTCGCAGTTTCTTGGTTACTTTCCAAAATCAGCGTCAAACTGTTTGGTGACCGTGACCACCCCCCTCCATGCTCCCCATTCCTCTCACCACCCCCTCCTCGCTCCAGCTCCTCTGAACACCCCTGTCGTACAGCGACACGGTACGGCATGGGTTCGGGCACCGTGTGCCGCCGGTCCCCTTGTTGTGATGTCTTGCATTGTAATGTTGTGTACGACATGTGGTGTACGACATGTACGACTATGTACGACAGCTGTACGGCAGTGTACGACAGCGTATGACAACTGTCGTACGCTTGTACGGCATCTGTACGGCATGGGTTTTGACACGCCCTCCCACCCCCCTCCGTGCTCCCCACTCCCCTCATCACCCCCTCATCACTCATCATGCCTGGCATCATCAGGATGGTGTCCTGAGATGTGGTGTCGTACGGCAACGCAGTACGGCATGGGTTTCGACACGCCCTCCCACCCCCCTCCATGCTCCCCACTCCCCTCACCACCCCCTCGTCCCTCCAGCACCTCTGAACGCCCCTGCATCACCATGAGGTGTACGGCAACGCAGTACGGCATGGGTTTCGACACGCCCTCCCATCCCCCTCCATGCTCCCCACTCCCCTCACCACCCCCTCACCGCTCTAGCTCCTCTGACCACCCCTGTCGTACAGCGACATGGTACGGCATGGCTTCGAGCACCACGTATCACCAATCTTCTTGTTGCAATATCTTGCATTGTGATGTCGACTAAGCTATGACTGAGTTAATTAGCCATTCGCAGTTTCTTGGTTACTTTCCAAAATCAGCGTCAAACTGTTTGGTGACCGTGACCACCCCCCTCCATGCTCCCCATTCCTCTCACCACCCCCTCCTCGCTCCAGCTCCTCTGAACACCCCTGTCGTACAGCGACACGGTACGGCATGGGTTCGGGCACCGTGTGCCGCCGGTCCCCTTGTTGTGATGTCTTGCATTGTAATGTTGATTAAGCTATAACTGAGTTAATGAGCCATTCGCAGTTTCTTGGTTACTTGGTCAGAAATCGGCGTAAAACTGTTTTGGCGACTCACCCCCCTCCATGCTCCCAACTCCCCTCACCACCCCAATGTCCCTCCAGCTCCTCTGAACGCCCCTGCATCACCGTGAGGTGTACGACAACGCAGTACGGCATGTGTTTCGGCATGCCCTCCCACCCCCCTCCATGCTCCCCACTCCCCTCATCACCCCCTCGTGACTCATCATGCCTGGCATCATCAGGATGGTGTCTTGGGGTGTGGTGTCGTACGGCAAC